TTAATGTGCCAATTATACCAGGGATATTTCATTCACTAGTTCAAACGGAACATCAGTTGGACATCTCTCATCTTTCAGATATTCTTGACGAGCTCACAGTCCATCCAGAAAGGGAAACAAATTCCTAACACTAATGTTAGAGGTTTAATTTTTTTTTTTTGAGACAGAGTCTCATTCTGTCACCCAGGCTGGAGTGCAATGGTGTGATCTCGGCTACTGCAACCTCCGCCTCCCAGGTTCAAGTGATTCTCCTGCCTCACTCTCCACGTAGCTGAGATTACAGGTGCCCACCACCGCACGCAGCTAATTTTTTGTATTTCTAATGGAGATGGGGTTTCGCCATATTGGCCAGGCTGGTCTCAAACTTCTGACCATAAGTGATCCGCCCACCTCGGCATCCCAAAGTGCTGGGATTGCAGGCCTGAGTCACTGCGCTTGGCCTTTTTTTTTTTTTTTTTTTTTTTTTTTTTTTTTTTTTTTGGTTTGTTTTTTGAGAAAAGATCTTGCTCTGTCACCCAAGCTGGAGTGCAGTGGTGCAATCTCAGCTCACTACAACTTCTGCCTCCTGGGTTCAAGTGATTCTCCTGCCTCAGCCTCCTGAGTAGCTGAGGTTACAGAGGGGTACCACCATACGCAGCTAATTTTTACTTTTAGTAGAGAGGGGATTTCACCATGTTGACCAGGCTGGTTTCGAACTCTTGACCTCAAGTGATCCACCCACTTTGGCCTCCCAAAGTGCTGACATTACAGGCATGAGTATTAAACAGTATTAAACAGTCAGCGTGCCAACAGAATTGGGATACAGGATGGAGGAGGAAGAGAGAGGAAGCAGTGGAAAGTGACTGCAGAGGTAGATGAGAGCCAGACTGGGAAAATCCTCAGAAGGCATGCCAAGGAATAAGAACAGCACTGTAAAAACCCTTATGAGGTATCCTAAGGAGTGTGGACTTGATTCTGCTCACCCCAGAGAGCCTTCTTAAGAAGGTGTGGAGATGGTAGAGGATAGAAGCAGAAAGACTAATTAAGAGCTGATGGAAACCAGGCACAGTGGCTCATGCCTATAATCTCAGCACTTCGAGGGGCTGAGGCAGGTGGATTGCCTAAGGTCAGGAGTTCAAGACCAGGCTGGCCAACATGGTGAAACCCCGTCTCTACTAAAAATACAAAAAAATTAGCCAGGCGTGGTGGTGCATGCCTGTAATCCCAGCTACTTGGGAGGCTGAGGCAGGAGAATTGCTTGAACCTGGGAGGCAGAGGTTGCAGTGAGCAGAGATCATGCCACTGTACTCCAGCTTGGGCGACAGAGCAAGACCCCATCTCAAAAAAAAAAAAAAAAGAGCTGATGGATCACACAAAGCTAGAGAGGAAAAGCACAATGTGGATTGATGAATGGTGGCATCTTGTTGGAGGAGAGTTAATGATGGAGGCATATTTAAGAGATATTTGGCTGGGCATGGTGGCTCATGCCTGTCTGTAATCCCAGCACTTTGGGAGGCCAAGGCAAGTGGATCACCTGAGGTCGGGAGTTCAAGAACAACCTGATCAACATGAAGAAACCCCGTCTCTACTAAAAATACAAAATTAGCCAGGCATGGTGCATGCCTGTAATCCCAGCTACTTGGGAGGCTGAGGCAGGAGAATCGCTTGAACCTGGGAGGTGGAGGTTGTGGTGAGCCAAGATCACACCATTGTACTCCAACCTGGGCAACAAGAGTGAAATTCCATCTCAAAAAAATAAAAATAAAAATAAAAAGATATTTGCATGGTAGACTTATGAGGCTAGGGTGACTGACTGGATGTGGTGCCTGAGAAATGGAGAGGCTGGCACAAGGATGACTGCAGGGTTTCTAATTCTGGCATCTTGGTGCGTAAGAATAACACTCAAAACAGAAAATTCATGAGGAATAGCGGATTTGTAGAGGATTTGCTTGGGGACAAGATGAATGTCAGGTACTTGAGTTGGGGAGACATCAGGTAGAGGTACTGAGACAGAATTGGAAACATGAGACCAAGTGGAGTTCAGGAGACAATATCTGGAAATTATTTTTCTTTGGGCAGTGGAAGGATGGAATTTCAGTCTTGTCACCCAGGGTGGAGTACAATGGTGTGATCTCAGCTCACTGTAACCTCTGCCTCCTGGGTTCAAGTGATTCTCCTGCCTCAGCCTTCTGAATAGCTGGGATTACAGGTGGGCATCACCACACCCAGCTAATTTTTGTATTTTTAGTAGAAACGGGGGTTCAGCATGTTAGCCAGGCTGGTCTCAAATTCCTGACCTCAGGTGATCCAGCCACCTTGGCCTCCCAAAGTGCTGGGATTACGAGCCACCGCACCCGGCCTGGAGATGATATTTAAGAGCGAATAATGTAAACTTATTGGCACAAGCCATGGGAATTGAAAATCTCAAGTGGTTGAGAACGAGAAGAGGGGGCCCAGCATGGAAACTTGGATTCCCAATATATTAGGTTAGGTGGAAGCCATGAAGAGGATTAAGGAGGAGCAAGAAATGAAGCCACGTTTAAGTAGGAAAGATGGTGAGAAACTCCTCTTACAGCAAAACCTATATACTCACGGAAAATGGTGTGGTATACAGTGATATCCTAAAAATCTCTCTAGAATAATCCTTGCCCCACTTTGACCAGAGCTTAGAAGCCTGTCCAGTCTTCACATCAGAAAGTCAACATTTTTAAAATGTGAAGAAATATGCGTGTTATAAAAGATGCGTGACCTACACCATGTAATTGATTTTTCCTTTTTTATTCAGAAAAAGTTAAAATTAACAAACGTGGCCAGTTGCAATGGCTCATCCCTGTAATCCTAGCACTTTGGGAAGCTAAAACAGGAGGATCGCTTGAGCCCAGGAGTTCAAGACCAGCCTGGGCAACATAGTGAGACTGCCATCTCTGCAAAAATAAACAAAATTAGCTGGGTGTGGTGGCGCATGCCTGTGGTCCCAGCTACTTGGGAGCCTGAAGTGGGAGGTTTGCTTGAGCCCCAGAGGTTGGGGCTGCAGTGAGCTGTGATTGCCGCCACTGCACTCCAATCTGGGCATCAGAATTAGTACCCATCTCTAAAAAGAAAAAATACTAAAACTAAGTTCTATTACAATTTATGTTTTCCTTCTCATAAGATAAATTATACATATTACCATAAGGAAGAAGAATGTGTAAAATGAGGAAAAATTCCTGTGAGAAGCCACTCTTTGCCCAGAAAATATGTTTGTTTATTGATGTATGTTTTTATTGGAAAACTCAAAAGGATCTGCTAAGTGTTCTGCCGTTTGGATTTCAACAGGAAATCACCATTTCTGCCCTCTGGGAGGCAGTAAAAAGATTGGAATACCTCCTCCTTTGAAGAGGTCAGGAAGTGTGGTGGATGCTGTCCAGATTCTCCTTCTGGAATAAAGGAAGTTTTCTCCAGCTGCTGGGAGCAGTGCCCACAGAAAACCCTCAGCTGTCAGCAACTTCAATGATTGCCTTGGCTAAAAAGAGCTGCCTCACCCAAAGTTGCATCCTTCTAAGGGTCAGCCTGCATCTAATAGCTGAAAAACAGGGGACCCAGCCCTCTCCCCTCAACAAGACACAACTCCGAATAACCACCTCATCTTCAAAGATCACCATGTGGTAGTCCAAGAGAGATGCTGGGCTTGTGCTGCCACCTGACTCCCCGCTCTGCCCAATCCTACATCCTTCCCTTCCTTTCAGTAGATGTGGATCCCAAGGGCCCTGTTTAATAAATCTCCTGGGTGCAGAGTTCGTAACCAGCCTGGCCAACATGGTGAAACCCCATCTGTACTAAAAATACAAAAATTAGCCCGGTGTGGTGGTGGGTGCCTGTAATCCCAGATACTTAGGAGACTGAGGCAGGAGAATTGCTTGAGCCCAGGAGGCAGAGGTTGCAGTGAGCCGAGACTGCGCCATTGCACTCCAGCCTGGGTGACAGAGTGAGACTTCATCTCAAAAAAACAAAACAAAAAAATCTCCTGGGTGCTAATCTCCATCTCAGAGTCTGCTTCCCAGAGAACTCAGTCTATAATGAGGGTGAAATCACAACGCTTGGACATGGCTTGCAGGCAAACCCTATATCCACCTTTTCATCCATTAGAGCTCAGAATCTCAAGGCAGTTTGAGCATTGGAAGTAGAGCCATGAATACCTGGGGTGTATTTTATTTTATTTTAAAATTTATCTTGAGTAAATTTCATTTTGGTGTATAGTTCTATGAGTTTTGACAAGCTCACCAAGTCACGTAACTACTACCATAGTCAAGATGCAGAAGAATTCCAATTTCCCCAGAAAAACTACCTAATGCTGTCCCTTTGTGGTTAATTCCTCTACTCTGTGCTTAATCCCTGGCAAGAACTAATCTGTTCTCTGTCAATATACTTATGCATTTTCCAGAATGTCATATAAATGGAATAATACAGAACGTAGACTTTTGAGCCGGCTTCTTTCGCACAGAATAACGTATTTGAGATTCAGCCATGTCATTGTGTGTATCAATAGTCTGTTCCTTTTTATTGCTGAGTAGCGTTCCATTGTATGGTTCATCACAATTTGTTTCTCCATTCACCAGTTGCTTCCAATTTTTAGCAATTATAACTAAAGCTGCTATCAACATTTGCATATAGGATTTTGTGTGAACATAAGTTTTCATTTCTTTTAAGGAAATATGTAGGCATGAAATTGGTGGAACATGTGGTAAGTATATTTTTAACTTTATTTTAAAAGCCTGCCAAACTGTTTTTCCAAAGTGGCTGAACCATTTTTGCATTCCCACTAGCAATGTATGAATGTTCCAGTGGTTCTACAGCCTACCCAGCAGTTGGGATTGTCACATTTTTTAAGCCATTGTAATAGGTGCATCAGTGGTATTTCATTGTGGCTTTAATCTGCATTTTACTGGTGATATTGAGCAGCTTGTTCATTTCTTTATAGACATCTGCATATCTTCTTTGGTGCAATGGCTGTTTAAATCTTTTGCCCATTTTTTGTTTGTTTCTCACAAAACGAACTTTACTATATTTTTCCCAGTTGGATTTCTTTGTTAAATGTCTTCACTGTCCCAGTGACTTCTGGTTCTTATTTTCTTGATGCACACAGCGTCCTCAGCCTTCTTTGGATTTTCTGCATGCCTCTTGACACTCTGTGTTACTCTCTGTGCAGATTCACTCTCCAAAGTGCTTGTTGCAGACTGGCTTTTCATCTTTGTGGATCTCAAACACATGGAGTCTGAATTTCCTGCTTCTCCTTTCCCTTCCTGATTCTGCATGAGAACTCCGGTACCCTTCTGCCCTCTGCTCTCCTCTGCCACCTTAGGCTGGGAGCTCTTATTCTGTCTAACAGACTTCAAGCACCTTTTGTTTTCACTGACTTTGCCCCTAGGTATGGGTTTCTGGGCTTCATCCTCTGGATTTTGAATGTCCATGTCTTGGGAGGTCTTCATGGGCTTCTTTTCATTTCTGTTTATTTCAATTCTTTCTGCTAATACAAGAACCTCAGTTATTTGCTGTTCTACATCAGTCTTATTTTGGCATCTGGAGTGCAGGGACATTCCCTTATTTTCAGGGACTGAGTCTTGTAATTTGTGTTCCTCTTTGTTGGTTTTCATGTTGTTGCTGTTCAGATCTTCCACAGGCTCAATTCTTCTTGCAGAAGTCCTCAGACTTCTCTTCTTGATGACCAAAGGTTCAGGTGATCTGCCTCTCACCCTGGGAGCAACCATCTGCTTCTTGCTGGCTGGCAGCTCCTCTATGATTTACTCTGGTGCAGGCATGCAGCGTGGCCTCTGGGTTCCAGTGACACTTCGATCTTTTCCACATCCCCTCTTGGAGGGCAGTGGGGGGCAGGGAAGTGTTGCTTTTGCTTTGTGATTTTACAGGGTCTCTGGTGCCTACCAAGTCTCCCACGGGTTCTACTTTAGGGGCCCGAAGAACTCTTCAGGATATTTTTAGAGGTTTTCCACCGTCGGGTGCTTGCTTTGGAGCGCTTGTAAAGCTATCAACACCATTTACCAGTTTCTCAGCGTGGCCTGGTGTTTGAGAGAGATCTTGGAAGCCAGCCTGATCTTCCAGAGGTTGGGCCTTTTCCTTAGGTGCTCTTGGCCATCTCCTGCTGCCAATTACATTTTCTGGGTCCAGCTTCCGCTTTGCAGGTGGCTTAAATGCTTTCATGCCTTTGCCCTCACCCACTGGCATTTTGTCAGTGTGCATGATGTTTGTGCGAGCTTGCTGACTGCTATCCGCTCTTCTTTCACTTCTACTTTCTGGCCACATGTCCTGGGCCGTCTCTTTGAGCTTGTTCCCATGTACACTAGTTCTGGTGGTGATTTGCAGGGTATTTTGGTGGTTTTGTCATCGGTTATGATTATTCAGTGTGACTTGGAGCTGGATCTTTGAAACCAGCCAGGTCTTGTAGGGCTTGGGCCTTTTCCCTGGGTATTCTTGGCCATCTCCTGCTGCCGGTTACACTTGCTGCTGGAGCCAGTGTCTGCTTTGCAGATTCCTTAAATGCTTTGATGCGTTTATCTTCACCTACTGGTTCTTTGTCGCTTCTGCGGTTTCTTGCCCATTTTTATATTGGATTGTTTCCTTGTTGTTTGGAGAGTTCTTTGTATATTCTGGATACAAGTCCTTTGTTATTCATGTTATTTACAAATATTTTCTCCCAGTATATCGGTATATCATATTTTCATCCTCTTAACAGCATCTTTTTTCTTTTTTTTTTATTGAGATAGAGTTTCGCTCTTGTTGCCCAGGCTGGAGTGCAATGGCTTAATCTTTGCTCACCGCAATCTCTGCCTCCTGGGTTCAAATGATTCCCCTGTCTTAGCCTCCCAAGTAGCTGGGATTACAGGCATGTACCACCATGCCGGGCTACTTTTGTATTTTTAGTAGAGACTAGGTTTCTCTATGTTGATCAGGCTGGTCTCGAACCCTCAACCTCAGGTGATCTGCCCACCTCGGCCTCCCAAAGCGCTGGGATTACAGGTGTTAGCCACCATGCCCAGCTTTTAACAACATCTTTTGCAGAGCAACAGCTCATAATTTTCATGAAGTCCAACTTACCACATTTTTCTGTTGTGAATAGTGCTTTTGATGTCATACCTAAGAATTATTGGCCTAACCCCAGAAAACAAAGATTTTCTTCTTTGTTTTCTTCTAAGAGTTATACATCTTACATTTAGGTCTATCATTGATTTTTTTTTTTTTTTCAGGCAGGGTGTCGCTCTGTCGCCCAGGCTGGAGTGTAGTGGTGCGATCGCTGCTCACTGCAACCTCCGCCTCCCAAGTAGCTGGGACCACAGGCATATGACACCATGCCTGGCTAATTTTGTGTGGATATGTGTTTTTTGTAGAGATGGAGTTTCACCATGTTGAAAGACCAGACTGGTCTCAAACTCCTGAACTCAAACGATCCACCTGCCTTGGCCTCCCAAAGTGCTAGGATTACAGGTATAAGCCACCATGCCCATCAAGGTCTATTATTGATTTTAAGTGAATTTTTGTAAAAAGTATGGGTAAATTTCTGGACTGCCTATTCTATTACATTGACCTAGGTATCCAGCCTTGCACCAATACCACACTGTCTAGATAGATTACTGTGGCTTTATAGTAAGTCTCAAAATTAAGTAACATGAATCTTCCAATTTTATTCTTATTTTTTAAAAATGTTTGGAATATTCTCATTTCTTTGCCTCTCCATGTAAATTTTAGAATCACCATGCTGATATCTATAAAGAATCCTGCTAGGATTTGGACTGGAATTGTCTTGAATCTATAGATAAATGTTCAGAGTATTGACATCTTAACAATATTGAGTCTTCCAATCCGTAAACACAGTTCTCCATACATTTGTAACTCTCTACATATTTAGCTCTCTTTTACTTCCTTCATCATTGTTTTGTAGTTTTCAGCACATAGATCTAGGACATATTTGTTAAACTTACACCTAAGTATTTCATTTCTTTGGTATTGTTTTTAATTTTATTTTATTGAGATTGACTTACGCTCTATCACCCAGGCTGGAGTGCAGTGGTGCGACCTCAGCTCACTGTAACCTCTGCCTCCCAGGTTTAAGGGATTCTCCTGCCTCAGCCTCCCGAGTAGCTGGGATTACAGGTGCGCACCACCACCACACCCGGCTAATTTTGTATTTTTAGTAGGGACAGGGTTTCACCATGTTGCCTAGCCTGGTCTCAAACTCCTGACCACAAGTGATCCACCCACCTTGGCCTCCCAAAGTGCTGGGATTACAGGCATGAGCCACCGCACCTGGCCTTCTTTGGTATTATTTTAAATAGGACTTGTGGTGAGAAGAATAACGACCCCTAAAGATATCCATGTCCTGATTCTTGGAACCTCTGTTTATGTTCTTACATGATGTACTGGGCTGAATGGTGGCCATCAGTTAGGTCAAGGCAATATCATGAAGATGTCAGTTCTACTTCCTGTGTTATGTTATAAACTTACCACACTCTCAATAAGAATACCAATAAGCTTTTATCCGGGACCTAAAAAAGTTAATAGTAAAGTTCATATGAAAAAATAAATATGCAAGAATAGCTACATGGTCTAAGTTTCTTGAACCCATTATGTTCCATTTCCACCTCATTTAATCAGGTCCTCCTTCAAATGTCTGCTCAAGCATCCCTATGTGAAGTCTTTACTACACACACACACACACACACACACACACACACACACATACAGAGAGAGAGAGAGAGAGAGAGAGAGAGAGAGAGGGAGAGGGAGGGGGAGAGAGAGAGAGAGAGAGAGAGAGAGAGAGAGAGAGAGAGAGATCTGGGGCAGATTTTTTTTTGAGACGGAGTTCCACTCTGTTGCCCAGCTGGAGTGCAGTGGCACAATCTCGGCTCACTGCAACCTCTGCCTCCCAGGTTAAATCAATTCTCCTGCTTCAGCCTCCTGAGTAGCTGGGACTACAGGTGCCCGCCACCAAGCCTGGCTAATTTGTATTTTTTTAGTAGAGACAGGGTTTCACCATGTTGGTCAGGCTGGTCTTGAACTCCTGACTTCAAGTGAGCTGCCCACCTCAGCCTCCTGAGTGCTGGGATTACAGGTGTGAGCCACTGTGCCCGGCCCTGGGGCAGACCTTTTTGTTATACACTCTCACAGAACTGTGTTTCTCTCCTTCAAGCACTTGGTTCAATTTGGGGTTATTCACACATTAGGAGATTGATTTGGTTAAAGTTGGTCTCCTCTCAGGCTGGAAAGGAAAACGGGGTTAGGGACTGTTTTGCTCATTGTGTACCTCTTCTGCCCAGCACAACCCCAGGTACACGATTGGCACTTGATAAATACTTTTGAAAAAGTATTTGAATACATAAGAAAAAGTTTGGTCTCTAGGTCCAGTGTTTTGAAAGCAGTAAAGATGTGATTTTAGCACCCCTGTTTATAACGTTGGAAACATCATGAAAAAAAGTCCAGGTCCAGACAGGTTCACAGCCGAATTCTACCAGATGTACAAAGAGGAGTTGGTAGCATTCCTTCTGAAACTATTCGAAACAATACAAAAAGAGGGAATCCTCCCTAACTCATTTTATGAAATCAACATCATCCTGATACCAAAACCTGGCAGAGACTCAACTAAAAAAGAAAACTTCAGGCCAATATCCATGATAAATATCAAAAATCTTCAATAATATACTGGCAAACTGACCGCAACAGTACATCAAAAAGCTTATTCATCACGATCAAGTGGGCTTGATCCTAGGATGCAAGGCTGGTTCAACATATGCAAGTCCATAAACGTAATCCACCACACAAACAGAACCAAAGACAAGAACCACACGATTATCTGAATAGATGCAGAGAAGGTCTGCGACAAAATTCAACAGCCCTTCATGCTAAAAACTCTCTATAAACTAGGTATCAGCAGAACATATCAAAAAATAATAAAAGCTATTTATGACAAACCCACAGCCAATATCATACTGAACTGGCAAAAGCTGGAAGCATTCCCTTTGAAATCAGGCACTAGACAAGGGTGCCCTATCTCACCACTCCTATTCAATATAGTATTGGAAGTTCTAGCCAGAGCAATCAGGCAAGAAAAAGAAATAAAGAGTATTCAAATAGGAAAGGAGGAAGTCAAATAGTCTCTATTTGCAGATGACATGATTGTACATCTAGAAGACCCCATCGTCTCAGCCCCAAATCTCCTGAAACTGATAAGCAAGTTCAGCAAAGTCTCAGGATACAAAATCAATGTGCAGAAATCACAAGCATTCCTATATACCAATAACACATAAACAGAGAACCAAATCAAGAGTGAACTCCCATTCACAATTGCTACAAAGAGAATAAAATACCTAGGAATACAACTAACAAAGGATATAAAGGATCTCTTCAAGGAGAACTACAAACCACTGCTTAACAAAATAAGAGAGGACACAAACAGAGGGAAAAACACTCCATGCTCATGGTTAGGAAGAATCAACATTGTGAAAATGGCCATACTGACCAAAGTAATTTATAGATTCAATGCTATCTCCATCAAGCTACCAATGACCTTCTTCACAGAACTGGAAAAAAACACTTTAAACTTCATGTGGAAACAAAAGAGATCCAACATAGCCAAGACAATCCTAAGCAAAAAGAACAAAGCCAGAGGCATCACACTGCCCAACTTCAAACTATACTACAAGGCTACAGTAAGCAAAACAGCATGGTACTGGTACCAAAACAGAAACATGGACCAATGGAACAGAACAGAGGCCTTGGAAGCAACACCACACATCTACAACCATCTAATCTTTGACAAACCTGACAAAAACAAGCAATGGGAAAAGGAGTCTCTGTTTAATAAATGGTGTTGGGAAAACTGGCTAGCAATGTGCAGAAAGCAGAAACTGGACCCCTTCCTGTCACCTTACACTAAAATTAACTCCAGATGGATGAAAGATTTAAACATAAGACCTAACACCATAAAAACCCTAGAAGAAAACCTAGGCAAAACTATCCAGGACATAGGCATAGGCAAGGACTTCATGACTAAAACCCCAAAAGCATTGGCAACAAAAGCCAAGATAGACAAATGGGATCTAATTAAAATTCATAGCTTCTGCACAGCAAAAGAAACAATCATTAGAGTGAACTGGCAACCAACAGAATGGGAAAAAATTGTTGCAATCTACCCATCTGACAAAGGGCTAATATCCACAATCTACAAAGAACTAAAACAGACATACAAGAAAAAAACAAACAAACCCATTCAAAAGTGGGCAAAGGACATGAACAGACACTTCTCAAAAGAAGACATATATGAGGCCCAAAAACATATTAAAAAAGTGCTCATCATCACTGGTCATTAGAGAAATGTAAATCAAAACCACATTGAGGTATC